TGTCACAGGGTGGTCAGGATGGAGGGTCCACTGTAGGGGTGGCCTGTCACAGGGTGGTCAGGAAGGAGGGTTCACTGCAGGGGTGGCCTGTCACAAGGTGGTCAGGAGGAGGGGTCCACTGCAGGGGGTGGCCTGTCCTAGGAGCTGGGGATGCCCGTCTACCAGAAAGGCTGCCACCCTGCCCGTGAAGCTCCCCCCTAGCGAGGGAGCAGACAACATGGACAAATGGTCAGAGGAGCCCGATGGGTCAGTGTTCTGGGCAGAGACAAATTCCCTGTAGGAAATGAACACGGCTGGGCGGAGTGGTGAGTGCAGCCCACACGGCCAGGGAACCCCTGACAGATGGCAGTCAGGGCCGCAGGTACCAGGGAGCAAGGGCTGGCCAGCCCAGCAGGGGTGAATGCTGCCCACACAGCAAGGTTCAGGTGAGCTTGACCAGGGCTGGCCAGGTCACCAGGCGCATGGAGGAACAGCAAGCTCAGTTTCAGTTGATCCCATGGCCTGGTGGTGTTGCCAGGGAGAATCTCAAATCTGCTCCAACAGCCCCATGTGTTAGCTTTGCCCTGGACAGGTTCCCCTCTTAGGTACAAGCAGCTGCAGAGGATCCAGGCATCCCACCCACGGGCCATAGTACTCAGGGAGCCCCCCCTCTCTTCTCTCTCTTGCTGGGGGAACGAAAAAAGTTTCTAAGAAGTCCCAGGTAGATTTAGTGTGTGGATAACTGCCCAGCACTGGATCACGGGTGCTCAGCAGTCCATCAGAAAACCAGGTCAGCAGCACCAGGGGAGAGAGCAGCCTCATGGGTCTTTGCTGCTATGCCGGGGCTGGGCAGCCAGCGCACAGGGACAGCCACCCGCGTGGCTGTTCACACACTCTCCGTTGCATGAGCACGGATCCTCACCGATGTCACGAAGCTTGGGAGGTGTTCAGGAGGTGCTCCGCAGGTTGGAGGTGCATTGAGCGGAGAGCCCAAGTGCTTGTTCCCTCAGTGATCCTGTGTCTTCTGATGGAAGGAAACGGGAAACTCTGACAGTGGAAACAGCTGTCAGTATCAAATGCCTCATCACTTACCTATGTCCTAAGCTAAAGAATCAAGGGCCTTTGTCACAGACTTGAGTGGAGTCCAGTGAGCATATGTCCTGCCCACTGAGGGACCAGCTCCCTCCTGGTTCTCCTGCCTCGGTGTCAAGATCAACCCCTTGGCCACAGTTTGCAGGTCCCTGAAGTTTGGGCCCAGGCCCCTGTGCAAGCCCAGGCCACCAGGCTGGTGGGATCCAGGCTGGGAGGAGAGGGACAGGTGTCTACTTGGCAGAGAGTAGGAATGAGTACTGGATCAGTATGGGGCAGGTGAGACCCAGCTGCTACCCTGGAGCCAGAACAGACCCTTGTCCACTGTCCTGAAAGGGCTCCTCTGTTCCTGAGTCTAGAGCTCTGTCCGGTGGCCACAAAGGCATGAAACCACTTCTCCACGGCAGTCGGCCTGAGGTCTGATGGGCAGCCAGACAGCAGAGAGATGTGTTGATTCTTTATGCAAATAAGTTAAACAAACACTGCGGAGAAGAGTGGAGACACGTGGAAGCCCTTCAGCTCTGCCCTGGGCATCGTCCTGCAAGCACCATTCTGCAGACAACGGCATTCTGCTGGGCTCAGGAAGAGCAGAGGCTCCCTCACTACCTTCTTAAATTCAGCCTCAGTGCTGGGATCCTTAAGGGACTCTGTCCCCCATTTGGAGCCAGACCCTAGTGATGTCTGGGGTGGCTAGCTTCCTCGTGGCTTCAAAGTTAGTAGATGACAAAAGGGGACTAGAATGATCTCATCATCCTACGTGAGGAGGTTGGGTCCTGAAGGGGTTGGATGCACTACAGGGATTTGAAAGGAACGGGGCTGCTCTCTAACTCTGCAGAAGGGCTACCCGCGTGTGCCTCGGACTCTCAGTCCAGGCTCAGTCGGGGGGAAGCCCTCGCTGCAGGCCCACCCAGTCGGAGGGCACTGGCAGTGCCCATCCTCTGCAGCTCAGACCTCGTGTGCTGGGAAGGGGCCTGTTCTCCTGTAGCTGTCAGTTCTAGACTGTTCCAACTGCCCAGATGCTGGCCCAGGGCTGGAACTGAAGATCGGGCTTGCCAGTGTTCTCCACACTTAGCATGAGGAGCTCCACGGCCCTTGGGCAGCAGAGTGTTCATCCAGCCCGCTGGGTGTGCCCTGGTTGTCTTATTTTTGAGGTGCTGGACTCAAACCCAGGGCCTTACACATTCCAGCAAATGCTTTCCACTGAGCTGCACCCAGGCCCTCTGGGTGCATTTTACCTCCCCTCTGCTGGCCACAGCCCCAAAGGTACCAGTGGGTGGGGTTGTCCCTGTGACTGTGAAGTCTCTGCTGTCTGTCACTGAACCTCACGTTCCCAGGAAATCTCGGCTCACGGCTTTGGGTAAAGTGTGCTTTGTGCTGTCCAGAGTCTGTCAGGGACTTCATTCCCAAACCACGTTTCAGGAAGACACACTAGTCTGTGAGTGTGGGGTGTGGGGTTCTCTGTTCAGGGGGGAAAGGCAGAGGTGTGGGCCCGGCTAGAGCTGCCCTGGGACTGGCCCGATTCTTGAGACGCCAGAGGAAGGAGACTGGAGAAATCCATTTTCTTTTACTTTCTAAGATTGGAAAACAAGGGAATAGTGGAAAATGAGAACACACATGATCTCTGTGAAGTAAACGTGACCTGGCAGCCCCTTCTTAGAGCATGAGAGGGAGGGGACAGGAAGGGAGGACCGGGAAGGAAGGGAGGACGCGGAGGCCAACCTTGCAGTGCCGCAGCCTGCAGGCCGAGGCCCAGGACACGCCTCCTGCCCCCTGCTCCTGGCTGGCTCCCATGCATCTGTCTGCCTTCTCCATGGATCAGTCCTGGCCTGCACTGATGTCCTGCACAGGAGCCCGAGGACCCAAGGAGAGGCCGTGGAGGTGGAAGGACTAAAGAGTGGACCTGCGGATGGGGGGCAGGAGGCACAGGCCAGGACAGGGCTGCACCAGCCCCATGACTCCTGTGAAGTCCCCTCCAAGGAGGAAAACCAGGGGACGTGTCCAGCAGAACCAGTCATTCTGCTCAAGACTACCCCTGCCCCCAGAGGTTTCTCCCAGGAGTGGATTCCCCTCCCCCTGGTGCTGGCCAGGTCCTTATCTGGGATCAGCCCGAGAAGCCTGAGAGGGGACCATGGAGGGGGCAGCTGAGGCCGGGGCCACCTCTGTGCTCACAGCCTCTGCACTGGCTTTGACTGCCCACTTTCTGCTGGGCTGAGTTGGCCTCATGGGACACAGACCTCCACTCCATCTCCAACACCCAGGCAGTGCCCAGGCCAGGTGGACTTGGAGGGGCTGTTGGCCACACCACTGGCTTTTTCTAAGCTGGGCATCTGGGGGCCGGCACCTTCAGGCAGCAGAGTCCCCGCCCACGTGTGCTCCATGGTTTTTGACTGACTCCAGGTGGAACCAGGTGGAACCAGGTGGCTTTTCTTTATTTTTAACACTTTTAGCTTCATGAATTGGACTGAAAATGACTTTGAGTAATGTATCGGTGGAAAACCCTGAGTCTTGGAGACTGTGCCACCTCTTGGGAGGGATCTAGTGCCTAAGCCCACATCGTACACTGTCCTCACACTCCTGCTCCTCCTTCCCCGTCCTGAGCCATGCCACTGGTCTGAAGTGCACAGCGCTTGCTCTTTGTGAAATCACGTAATAGAAGGAGAGGACAAGAGTGAGGCAGAGGCTGCCAGGGAGGAGCTGCAGGTGCCTCTTCCCGTCACTGGGGGACGTGTTCATTGTGTAGCCGAGGTAGTTAGGCTACAGGCATGTGACACGAGGACCAGATGCCATGGTTCTGTCTGGGGGAGCCCACCTGTACCTCTCACACGCTGGAGAGGTGGAGCACCAGGGGTCAGGCCCTCCAGCAGCTCTTCTCTCCCACCCCCAGGTATGAGCAGCCCAAGTGTGACGACAGAGCCCGGGCACACCCCGCCAGGGCCCGGGACCTGTTCAAGGGCCGGCAGCTGCAGGGTGAGTACTGCCCACAGCCAGTGGGCATCGGCCACCACTGCAGAGTCTCTTGCTGGGGTGGTGGGAACAGAGTCTGCCCGCTTCTGGGGCGCAGCACCATGGTGGATTGGAGCCTCACACTTCCTCCCAGAGGGCCGAGAGTTGGTGGCTGACTCAGGCCCACAGATTAAGCACATGGGCTGATTCTCAGGCTGCTGTCACTGTGGCTGCGGTGGGAGAAGATCCACCAAGCGTGAGGTCACACGCGAGGGAGGAGGAAGGACCAGCCTCACTCCAACATCAGTGTCAGCACTCTGGAACTCCTGGGTGCTCCTGAAATGCTTAGCCCAAAGCATGTTTCCCGGGCATTCCCTTAGCGCTGAACCTCAGCACAACATAGGGGGTAGTTTTAACAAAGCATGAGCTCAGTCTGTTAACAGGTAAGTCTAATTGCAAAGGACCATTTGAAACAAAATGAGGAAATGCATTCCCACAAGGTGCTTCTCAAGTTCTCTGAGCTCAGAAGTGCAGGGTATCTGAAGAGCCAAGAAGGGACGTGTCAGCAGGCATACCTGAGCCCTCAGGGGACCGAGTCCTTCCAGGAGTTGCAGGAGACAGGCACTTGCTGCCCAGGCTAGAGCAGCACCCTGGAGCCCACCGGGTCCCACAGCTCGCTGCACCCGGGAGGCAGCCAGTGCTCTGACGTCATGGGGTGGGCCCCATGCCTTCAGTCGCTCTGTGTCATCTCAATCTTTATTTCTTCTTAAATACCTCCAGATTGTCTCAGAGACCATAAAAACTGCTCTGTTACCTCCTCCATGTATGCTGTGTGTCTGATCTCAGTCTTGGATGGTCTAGATAATTCCCCTTCAAGAGCATTCGTGGTTCTTGTAGGATTTTACTGCCGTTGATAAAGAAGGTTTTAACTTTGCAGAGTAAAGTGCTTCTCTGCTTACAAATAGGCAGGGAAGTGCCCAGATCATGCTCACTCTGCGCTCACCGCTCCCAGGTCTGCTCGACAGCACCGAGGAGCAGTATGGCAGAACTGCCCCCAAGAGTTCTCTAGGCTTAAGGTGCTCTGGACTGAGGTGACCCGTTGTCCCCCACCTTGGGGGCCATCCAGGGTCCTGCTGTAGAGACAGGATTGAAGAGTCTGTTGGTGGCTTTATTTTTGCCACCCTGTGTTCCTCTGGGGGAAGGTTAGCTGCTCTCGGTTTCCCTGGTAGCTTCCTTCTGCACTGGGTGTGAGGAGGGGGCAGATACCAGGTGCCTCCCTCCAGAAGGTCTCCTGTATCTTTGGAGGTCCAAATTGTGTCTGTGTGGAGCCAGGGTGCAGCCCAGGCCTTCTGCAGGCCAGGCCACTCCAGCATGACACCCCAGCCCCTGAATTCAGGTGGTGATATGAGCAGGTGACAAATTTCTGAAAAAGAAATAACCAGTTTCATGCACACTTGTTGCATGGAAAGCCCTCGGTGAGCGTCTGCCTGATTGGCTGGTCTCAACTCTATTCTGGGGCGCCTGATGTACTTCTTAAAGGGCCCAAGGCATTTGTGAGCTGGTCTTCTGTCTTTGGGTAACGTGAAGCCACATGACTCCTGAACCTGTGCCCTGTAGTCCAGCATGAGTGTGGCCCAGCCTTGTCCCAGGAGGTCTGCCCTCCTCTGGGACAGGACACCGCTGGTCCCCCAGGGTGCACTTGGTAGGAAGGTCTTTTCGTGGAAAAATCCCACCCTTTAAGCACTAGATGGGGACCTGATTTGAAGACTGAAATGATCCTTCATCTTGTGCCAACAATGGCCATGGCTATGGAGAAACAAGAAGGGTACCCGGGAGGCGTGTCTGATGTCAGATGAGCCCCAGGGGAGACAGCACTGGAGGGGATGGGGCACTATGCTGGGACAGCCACGGTTCCTCTGCCAGGTACAGGAGGAGGACCCTGGGGCTCCTCGGGAAGGCTGCTGCCCGGGACGGGGCCCTCAGCACTGCAGACGTCCCACGCAGCCCCAGGAAGGTCAGCCGAGCTGTGCTCCAGGCTGTGGGGAGTGCTGCTCACGCCCACTTCATCATTTTCACTATTTGGAGATAATTATCCTTATTAGGTAAAAAAGCCAAGTGCGTCTTAAATTAACTCCAGGATACAGGCTGTTCTTGGTGGAGAGGAGAAATCTCTTTCCAAAATAATACAGCGACAGTGTGTAGGCGAGCACAAGTGACGTATAGGCTGATGTGTTTTCTTCCTGGTACACTTTTGTCTTGCGCTCCTTCTCTGTGTTCTGGTCAGCAAGAGCCCTCTGTCCCCCAGGTCGAGCTGAGAAGATTGCGCACAGCTCACTCGTTGGTGTGTGGGCTGCCAAATATCTATTCACATCTTCTGTAGAGCAGATAGCAGGTTTTCTAGCTTGTGCCAATGGATGTTAAACATGAGGCATATGGAGCAGACACCCAGGTCCATCCTGATGGCTTCCATATTGAGAGCTGGCTCTGAAGAGTCTTGGAATCCCTTGGTTTCCTGGTAGGGATGGCCTGTCACCTTGACAGACATCAAAACCCAGGGACGGGAAGTCCAAATACAGGCAGGAAGCTGCCCCCAGCCCCCTTTGCAAGCCTGTCTTGCTGTGTTCTGGCCTGGCTCTCTGCACTTGCGGGGTGCAGTGGAGAGAGGTCACCTGCACTCCCAGCTCCTGGACTTCTCCTGTGCTCTGGAGCTGGAGGGCCACGGGGCCTTCTCTGAGCCCGTCTGGGGCCGTGAGCTCGACTTCCCTGCTGAACTGCGGCTCTCTCCACTTCCCGTGGCTCTCAAGCTGCCTTCAGGACTCGGCTCTGCAGGATACCCTCGCTGGCCACCACCTATCACACCTGCAGAGGGAAGATGAGTTGTCCAGTGTCCCCCAGAGCCTCAGGGGCCCAGGGTCGGGTGATGAGAGCTGAGCCTGAGGACAGTGGTGGGTGTTTCTTTCCCCGTCCTGTGCCGACTGCCCTCTGTTAAGCAAGGTCAGCAGGCCTGGATGTACTAGCCACGGGTTTTGATTGTTTCAAGGGCCCACAGAACCAGGTAAAGGAAGGGGCCGCCAGGGGGCAAGGTGACCTGAGCCCGCGGCCTGAGGGCAGAGGGAGCTCCCTGTTCCTGAGGGCCTCCGAGTCCTTCCCCACAGCGTAGTGTGCAGGGGTGTGGCCTGCCAGAGAGAAGGTGCAGGCACAGGCAGGGGCTGCCTGGGGACAGCACACCAGACTGACCCCTCTCCACTCGGGAAACACCAGCTCTGAGGAGGTGGCTGGAGAAGTGGTGTCAGAGGCCTTGTCTTGGCAAAGTCAAAACAAGTCATCTATGGCTTGGAGTGTGTGACTTCCGTGACCTGCACTGCAGGTGGTTTGTGCCCTCTGGCTGCCGCTCAGGTGCGGTTCCAGCTGGACAGGCAGCTGCTGTTGACTGGCCTCTGCTCGGCCAGCCTGCGCCAAGGGGGCAGTGTCCTGCCTGAAGCGTCAGCTCCTGACACTGGCTCAGCACTGGGTGTCCTCGCATTATGGGCACTGCAGCTGGCGCCAAGCAGGGAGCAAGACACTCGCACTCTGTGACAGCTACAGGAGAAGCTTTGGTCACCGTAGCCTTTCTTCTCCAGTAGTCGGTGACACAGTGGTGTTCTGTGGGCACGTGAGCTTGTGCCTGGGGATGGAGGTGGGTCTCAGGGGCCCTGGTCAGCCTCCAGACCACTGCTGCCCTGGCTCTCCCTCTGGCCAGACAGCTCTCTCCACATGCTCTGGCAGGGCATCCCTCTGAGACAGACTTCAGCGCAGCCCAGAGCCGCTCCGTGTCCACAGCGTGACAGACGGAGACCTCCTGCACCGGCAGGTGTGACGACACCCTCCAGGCACCTCTTGGATTTTCCAAGCAATAAGTTAGCTTCATTCTAAATCACCTCCTAAGGTGATTCCTGCCTTGCTGTGAGCGAAGCTCAGGATGTTTTCCTAAGGTGACCAGACCTGAGCCAGGCGTTTGCGGGCGCTGCGTGGCACATGAAGGTGCTGGTTTGCTGGCCTTCAAGACAGACAGGCAACAGCAGGATTGTCCTCTGTGGCTGGAGGCTTCAGGAAATGAGTGTCAGCATTTCCTCCTTCAGTGTCACCCTGTAGGGCGTCCTTCGTCTGGTCGGGTGCCAAGGCTGCCATGCAGCTGGGCTGTAGCGAGGTCTTGCTGCCTCAGATGCACGTCCTCTGGTCTGAGAAGGTGTCAGCTGCAGGAGGCCGTGCCCCAGGTGTGCCCAGGGCGGCGCATCCTGCCCTCTGTCTCCAGCACAGACGAGGAGGAGCAGCGACCTACCCCAGGTGTGGACTGGCCACAGAACCAGGAGCGTGCTGGTGTGACAGGACACTGCTCTTGAAGGCCGTGGTGACAGTGTGCCTCAGAGTGCCGAGTCGGCATCTCAATTTGTTGGTTCCTGAAGGCCAGGGTCTAGTCTAGTGTGATGCCTGGGAGACCTGGCCTTCAGCACTCATTTACAACTGTATTTTTGATGAAATATAAAATTAAGTTTGTGGAAGAATTCAGCCACTAAACCCCTCAGAGGGCAGTTGTATCTTTTAGAAAGCCCCCCCCCAAAAAAAATAGTGGGCACAGGATTCATTTTATCAAAGGAGGACTATTGTCGGCAAGAGGCCATGAATCACCTGTGTAGCTCCCACCCTGAAGGCCTACAGCCAGGAGCACCTGGGCCCGGGCCAGGGCCGTTGACATGAAAGGTGGGAAGGTGTGAGCTTGGAGACCAGCACCGTGGGACCCCTGGGCTGCACCTCCCAGGAAGCTCCTTTGAAAGACGGTTCTCCTTTGAAAGCCAGAGCTGCTCGGAACACTGCATACTAAACTTTCTGGTTTTACCTTTTCTGTAGCTGTGCATGTTTCTCTGTTAAATCGATGAGCAGATGTCTATTGCGTATTACATCCTAAGCCGGGAGGCAAGCCTGCAGGACAGCCAGCGGGATCCCAGCCTCAGTGCCCTAGAATTGGCGTCCTCAGAGACCAACACTGC